CCCTTGCTGTCCAGGCCCCATCCCCACCTGCTGCCCGGGGGATCCAGAAGAAGCATGCTGAGCCACCCAAGCTTCTACCTGGCCACTGCCCACCTATCCAGGCTCACTGTCCCCTCCTTGTCCTCATCTGTCACACCAACCAAAACGGGTGACCTCAATTCCCACATAGGCACCACATTTCCCCACTTCCAGGCCTTTCTGGGTGCCCTGTCCTGTGCCCGAAATGATGTCCCTTCTCTCTGCTTGCTCAAGTGTCTCACCGACCCCCATCCCCCCGTCCAACCCAGCTGAGCTCAGCCCCTCCAAACCAGGGGTGACATTGGCCCTGCATCCCAGAGACCATCACCAAAAAGAGAGAGAAAGTGAGCTAGGTGGTCCCTCAGGGGGGAGTGTGGCGCTGCGTGTGCCTTGGACACAGAGGTGAGCAAGTGTGTGAGCAAGAGCAGGTGAAAACCAGCCCACGCGGGAGCCAGCGGCCGTGCGGGGCTCAGCCCAGTGCTTCCTGAAGCAGCGAAGGTGTCCCACAGCTGTGCTGTCCAGGGTGGGAGCCACCAGCCCGCTGCAGCCATTGAGCACTTGAGATGCAGCTAGTGTGACTGAGGAATGCGATTTCTACTTTCATTGAATTTTACTGCAATTAATTTTACTAGCTACAGGTGGGACAGTGGCCACCGGATTGGCAGCATAGTCCTAAGCACAGGAGTGAGTCCACTTGTCACCACACATGCACGAATCTACACACAGGTGCGTGAGTGCGTGTGTGTGCACAGGTGCACCTGTGGGTGGGCAGGGGGCTTGGGGCAGCAATGGTGACAGCCTGTGTGGCAGTGCCCTGTGTGCAGCTCCACATCTGTGTCACATGGTGCAGGTCGGCGTGTGGTTTCGGTGCCTGTGAAGGGCAGGAGTAGAGAGGGACAAAGGGGCCATTGTGCCACTTTCCCAGCTCAGACCCTCCTTTCCACTGACATCACAGCTGCCCTAAATACGGCCGCCCAGACTGGCTCCCTGAGACCCTCGCTGCCCTGCGCAGTGGCACGGAGCCTGCTGTTCCCAGCGCGGCTGTGCCGGGCTCACCTTCGTCTCCTCCGTGAGCAGAAGGACCATGTTCCTGGGGCTGAGTTTTCAGTCACATCCAGATGGAAAATTCTAGAAAGGGAAGAGGCTTCATTTGGATGTTTTGTTTTTGCTGCTCTTTGGGAGCCCAGCTCCTGGCAGGATTTTCTGCAGCTGGAACGTGGCGGTGGGGGTGGGGGGGGTTCCCTCTAGTTTTTCGCCCTCAGCATCTGAACCCTCCAGGGCCATCTTGGAGGGCCGGAGCTGGGCGGGGCTGAGGCGAGGAGAGGTGGAGAGGGGGCACCTGGCTGGGTGCCCCCGCCTGGGGCAGGGCGGCATGTGGAGCCTGGGGTCGTGTGGCAGACAGAGCGGCTGCTCACAAGGCCAGCGCCCACACGAGGAGGCCTGTGCCATGGCGTCTGAGGAGTGAGGTGAGTGCCGCCGCGTGGGCCCCGTGGGGGTCTTCTGGGGGGCCCTACACATGCATCTGTGTTCACACGGGCCCTACACACTGTGCGTGTGTTGGGGGCGGTGGGCGTGTGTCAGGGCAGCTCCCCACACGCCTACGGCAGTGGGAGTGACGCTGTGTGACCTGTGAGAGCTCCTGGATCATGGCATCTGCAACACATGTGTCACGAGCATGGCAGAAGGCAGAGGAGACTCTGTGAATGGAGATGGATGGGGGTGGCGCGGAGGAGCGTGGGAAGGACGAGGAGAGGCTGGCCATGGGAGGACACAGCCATCCTGAAGTCCCTGATCCAGCGGGAGCCCGGGTGCTGGGGAGAGGCTGCATCTCCCTGCCCCCTTCCTCCGTGTGTGCTCCGGAGGGTTCCAAGTCAGGCTGAGGGCATGTCGCTGGACTGGGAGGCAAGGCCTTGGGAGAAGCAGGGCCCTGTCCAGGAGGGTGCTGGGTCCTTCCACACGTGGAGATTTCAACACTTCGCAGAGCATGTGCAGGCAAAGCCAGCAGGGAGGTGGGTTTGGGTGCGTGCTGGTGTGGAGAAAGGGGAATTTTCTCTGCAAAAGACAATGGGAGGAATTGGGAAGGGGGTGCTCAATGAGAAGGGACAGAGAGGAAGAGGTGGCTGAGAGCCATGGTGGGGACCCGAGCACATTTTAGAACAAGGAGGCCACGTGTTCAAGTTCTAGGTGAACTCACTGCTATGCGGCAAAGCGCTGCATACAGCCCCCGGGTGCTCCGCAGGAAGCAAGGGAAGGGGCTGAGCTGTGGGTGTGAGTCGATGTAGGTGGAGAGAAAGGAAGATCCATGAAACCAGCACTGCCTGATAAACATATAAAGAGAGCCACGTTATGTAATCTTCCATTTTCTAACAGTCATTTAAAAAAAATAAAAAGAAATAGGTAAAACTAATGTTAATGATGTCTTTTATTTAACCCAATGTATCCCAAAATAAGATCATTGCATCCTGGTGCTGACAGCACATCTCAGCGTGGACTAACCACGTATCAAGTGTTCCAAGGCCAAGTGTGGCCAGTGGCCGCCGTCCTGGACAGCCCAGCATCGGGCGGCAGAGCCATGCCAACGACCATGTGAATTTAGGCCTCCACCCCAAGTTTACAGGGAGAGAGTGAGCTTTTCACAAGGCGCAGATGGAAATGGAGCCTATTTAGTCTGGATCTTAGGGGGCAAGAAGACCCCACGGACCTCTGGCCTTGCGGGGATCGTGTGAGTGCCCGCATGTGGTAATGTCTCCATTCCTGGGAGCTGCCAGAGTGCCCTGTTCCCACTAACTCTCCCAACAGCCCCAAGGCAGTTGTGATTATCGTCTCATGAGTAAGCTAACTGTCAGCTGGCTGGGCCGGCTGTTGTGTGGCAGAACCATGATTTCTGTCCTGCTCCGGGGGACTGTGCGTCCAAGGGCTGAGACCAGCTGCAGGGGTGCCCTGTGCCCCCGGGCCTGGTGGATGGACAGATGGTGAGGAAATGTCTGGAGAGCCAGGCCACTGGTGGGGACCATTTAGGATGAAGGTGGGGGCCGTGTGGGCAGTGCCATTGGTGGGACTTGTGGAACAGAGTGTGCCCTTGTCTCAGGGTGGGGTGGAGGTGGGGCGGCTGCTGCTGTTTGTCCTGGGCCGTGGGGGGTGGCGCGTGGCTGCTGGGTGGAACCCCGCCCAGGGAGCGGGGGCCCCTGAGTGTGTCTGTGCCGGGGCCGCAGGCGCGTGTGCCCAGGCACGGCACAGTGTCCTCTGCAGGCACGCCATCCTCCCGGCTACTTGTCTGGGCCACTTCCTCTCAGGCCGGCAGCCAGGCTCCCGTGTGCTCCTTGGAGCTGAGCAGGGAGGAAGGCACTGCCAAGACCCCAGGCAGAGCTGGGAAGCAGAGGAGACGAGATGCTGGCCTCGCCGCCTCGGGTCCCTGGCCCTGGCCAGCACAGGAAGAGCTCAGAGGAGGCCGGGGGGGGGGGGGGGCAGGGACCAAGGAGGACCTGCCCAGACAGCTGGCTGCCTGCTCCAGCCTCTAGTCTGAGCAGACTCTGTGCACCTCGGAGTTTCCATCAGGAAAAAGAAGGAAATGGCCGATGAGGTGTCAGAGGTACCTTCAGTTCACCCGTTTGGTTAGAGGGTGGGCACCAAAGAGCAGCTGCTCAAATGTTTGCTGAGCACATTCGCTGCACCTCTGCCTCAATCAGTGTTTGCCGGGTCAAATGACCAGCCGGTGCCTGTGGCAGCCAGCACGGCGGGGAGGACCAGGGGGCAGCGGAAGATGCTCTAGCAATGGCCTTGCTCACCTCTGCCCTGAGCGGAGCAGGGCAGCACCCTCCTGAAGAACTCTGGGCAAGCGTCCCCTCCTGCTTTCCTTCCAGACATCTTTCCTGAGCGCCTACTGTGCGCAGGCGCTGCGCCTGCTGGGGGCAGCCGGAATCCTGCACTCCGGTGTGGGAAGAGGACAGGAACAGGTGAACCCAGGCAGAGCACACCTCCCAGAGGGCGAGGAGGGCTGTGGGGACAGCTGAGCCCCTGCCGCAGGGGCACAGGGAAGTCCTCTCTGCGGCAGAGACCAAAAGCGCCCTAAGAGGGGAGTCGAGTGGCTGGGGGCGGCTGGGGCCCCCTGCAGAAGAAAAGGGATGAAGAGGCCCAGGGGGCGGGCAGCTGGCCACCCAGAGTAGGGGTGGGCGGGGGGCTGGCCATGTGTCCCTCCTCTGCCAACCTTCCTTTACCGGGGTCCCCTCCCAGGCTCTGTCTGCAGCCTGTCCCCACATGGGAGTGGGGAAATGTGAGACTACCATGGCCAGGCTGGTGGTGGGTGGGCAGGGCCAGCCCTCTCTGCTCAGCAGAGTTCCAGGCTGTGCCATGTCCTCTGGACCCCACCCTGTCTCTGGGGGAGCCCACAAGGAGGGGAGCCCTTGTGCCCAGGGCATTCAGCGTCCCGCGTCCCATCCTCTCTCTCTCTCCATCCTAGATTGGCTTCTCTCCCAACACAGGCACAAAGGGACTCTCCTCCCAGGGGATCTTGACAGGCGTCAACTAGTAATAAACCTCCAGGTGAGAGCCTGGATCTCCTGCTTCCAGAGCCCCGCAGCCCTCCCGAAGGCACCGTGGAAACAAACAGGCCAGGTTTGAACCCAAGCTCTGCCACTTGCTTGCTCTGTGACCTAGAGTAAGTCACTTACTCTCCCTAGGCCTCGGTTTCCTTATCTATAAAATGGGGGGTAATGATCCAGTAATCCCTCCCAGGCAAGTTCACATGGGGGCCACATATAGCAGGTCTTTCCCTCCTCCTTCCAGAGGATCTGAGAAAAGAGCAAGATGCCAAGGGTCCAAAGGCTGGCAGCCCCTGGCGACTCCTAGAAGGCAGAAAGGGAAACCAAGGCAGTGAAGACTCGGAGGAGGCTGCTGAGAGGAAGGCACTGGCAGCAGCAGATAGGCAGAGCAGCAGGTATTTATTCTGCGTGTCCTGACACTGAACACCGTCACTCCGCCCCATCCATCTCTCTGCTTGTTCAGAGCCTGGGGCTAGCGGGACCAGGAGCTGGGACCAGCAGGCGGGATGCGCCTGGCCAGGCATCGTGGCTGCTCCCTGAGTGGACAGAGAAGGGAGGGTGAGGCCAGGGCTGGACCTGGAGCAGCTGGAGGAGGGACAGTGGAGGGCTGAGAGGGCCAGTCCCTGGTCTTCCTGTTCTCCCCACTCTGACCCTCCCCCCCAAGTGCTTGGCATTGGGGGCATAGCCCTGGCACTGCTGGGCACCCCCACTGCTGCCTCAGAGGGGCAGACAGGTCCATGCGCCCCCTCCCCCGACTGCCCCCATGCTCCACATTTGCCCCAGCCTTGAGTCGGAGGTCACCTCGTTCCCAGAAATGAGGCTGGCAGTGCCCACTGAACCCACCTGGCTGGGCCCTCAGTGCTGGTCCAGGATGAGGGGCACCTGGGCGCTGTCCATGCGGGGGGGCAGCCGCTCGCCTGTGCGCACATTGAACATGGGCAGGGTGGAGAGTGGCCGGGGCACCTCGCGGTTTCCTGCCATCTGCCGCAGCTCCTCTGTGTTCCCGTGGATGGTGCAGTGGTGAACCATCTGGATGCTGGAGGCACAGGTTAGGGGACCATCAGCTCAGGGACTCAGTCGCCCCAGGGTTCAGCCTGGCACTGCTTAAGAGCCACCCTGCTGTCCTCCCCACCAGTCAAACACGGGCTGAGAGCACAGGGAGCAAACAAGAAGTTCTGTGGTGCCTGCTCCATGCCCAGTGATTGAGGCACAGGCTCTGGGTTCAGACAGCCTGGATTCAAAGCTGTGTGTCCTTGGCAAGCCGCTTAGCCACTCTGTGCCTCAGTTTCCTCAACTGTAAAATGGGGATAATAATATCTACCTCCTAGGATTGCTACGAAGATGAAATGAGAAAATATGGCTCCAGGTTTAGAACAGTGCCCAGCAATGGTAACTGCTCATGTGATACCAAGACATGAATAGATATCCACAGTGGATTTATTTTTCCAGGCCAGCATTTGCCGGGCTTAATACAATATTTTGTTTTCATATTCTGGTGACCCTCTTCGTCCCTTCTAGCACTCGGCTCCCTCCTTCAATATTTTCTCCAACCACAGAGCATCTAACCCTTCTCCTCCCTCTCTACCACCCCGTCCCTGTGTCCCTGGGTCAGGCTGGCAAAGCTGCCTCCCCCTTTACCCTTTCTCACCTCCTCGGTTTGCCTGAGCTGTCCCCCCTTCCAGGAACGCCCTCCCCACATCCTGCCAGGCCTTGAGCACCTCATCCTTTGGCCCCTCGGGCGTGTCCTCCACTCTCTTTGTACCCTGACCCCCCCTTGGCCCCACCCCAGCCCACCCCCAGCACCGACCAGTTCCCAACACAGAGTCTTGTCTCCCTGGGCTTGTTTCAGACCAGGGCTCCTTGATGCCGGGCACTGAGCTCTTCCCTGAGATCTACCAAGGGGCTGGAAGTCCCAGCAGCACTAAGTGGCCACACCCACAGAGAGTCCTTTCTGAGCACTAGCTCCAGTTCCTCCTCAGAAGGCTCAGCCTCGCTGTCTTTGGACATTCCCAGAGACTTACTTTCTGCTGTCCAAGGGTAAACTTTAGTTCATTCCGACAGGCAGAGTAGCACGGTAGTTAAACATGAAGACTTGCTTTGAGTTTGAATCTGGATTTCACTGCTTCCTGGCTGTGTGACCTTGGGCAAATTATTTAAGCTCTCTGTGCCTCGGTTTCCCCAACTATAATGCAGTTGTTCTATGAATTAAATGAGTTAACATAGAAAAGGCAGCCGGGCGTGGTGGCTCACGCCTGTAATCCTAGCACCCAGCGAGGCCAAGGCGGGAGGATCGACCCGGGTCAGGAGTTCAAGACCAGCCTGATCAAGAGTAAGACCCCGTCTCTATTAAAAATAGAAAGAAATTAGCCGGACAATTAAAAACAAAAAAATTAGCCAGGTGTGGTGGTACACGCCATAGTCCCAGCTACTTGGGAGGCTGAGGCAGGAGGATCACTTGAGCCCAGGAGTTTGAGGTTGCTGTGAGCCAGGGTGACGCCACGGCACTCTAGCCTGGGCAACAGAGTGAGACTCTGTCTGAAAAAAACAAAACAAAACAATAAAATTGGGTTTTCTTAGAGGGGCTGGGGCCCCAGGCAGGGCTGAAGCAACCCCACTTGCCACTCAGTTACTGATTAGATGGGAGAGGGAAGTAGTCCCCACCCGTGTCCAGGTCTCGGTCAGTGGACACGGACTCCAGAGACTGGCCAGTTAGATTACAGAAGAGACTTCCCAGCTTCACGCTGAATAGGCCACACTCCCTGGGGCAGGCGGGGCTGAGTCCTGTCTGGCCAGTGGGAAGACGTGGAGTCATTGTCTAGGGCCGGGGGAGGGTCAAGATGAACTCTAGAGTCTGGAATTTGGCAAGCTGGGTTGTCCAGAGCACAATTTTCCATTCCCAGGCGAGGGGAGACTGAGGGAAAAGAGGGGAACCGGCGTGTGGACGCTGAGACGAAGACACCGGGCAGGTGATGCCCCCGCGGAGAAGGGCCCCAGTCCGTGTGCCCCCGCTCACCCCCGGGCCCACATCTGGGTCTCATTACTCTGGCAACACACAGGTGGAAAAATGTTCACCGGCTGTTTTTTGAGAGCCCAAGCCAGACCCCGCAGCACCTTCCCCGCAGTCCTTCCACATCAGCACTCAGGCAGACACACGGACAGGCGGCCTTCCCACACACGCATGCGCACGTGCACACGTGTGGCCTGGGCTCACCCACACGCAGGGAGCCACCAACACCCGGCAAGCCCGCCTCTGGCACACAGACCCACGGGAGAGGGTGGTCAGGGCCCAGAGGATTCTGTGACCAGTAAAATCTGATCTGGGTGAAAAACAGGCAGTAGAATCACCCTTTCGGGTAAATTTGAAAAAATGGGAGACATGGAAGAAGCAGAAAAAAATAGGATTTTGTAGAAATAAACCAACACGAAATCCAAACCAACTAAGGCAAACATCGCACATTGTAAATTGGTTATTGATTTCAAATTGATGGAGGAAGCAGATTTTCCTGATAACGTCTGAGCCACAGAATTGACCCAGGAAAGCAGAACCTGGCAGAAATACCAGTCACAAGAGAATAAACCACCGTAGCAGTAGGTACGATGGGTTAAATTTGGGCAGCACCCCCCCCCCAAAAAAAGGAATCAACTTGGGAAATTTACATGAAAAATCTCTGATCCCGATGGGGAAAAATTCTATAAAATAAACATGAAAATAGAAAGTGAAAGCAAAGCCTTTTAACTGCTTTGTGTAGAAAGTTGCTCAAGGAATGAAATCGATTTCACGTAGATCAAGGAATTACATCTCTCTTCACCCTGGAAAATGTATCCCTCACCAAATTCCATAAATGCTGCTGTAATTCTGATGTCTCAAATGTTTGCATTCCTCAACCCAAAAGCCAGTGATGGGCCGAGATGGTGGGTTTAACCCTGGGGGCCCAGAACGCCCCTAGACGGGCTCGAGCAGGTGCGCGCATGGTCCACACACGTGGCCCGTGCAGCGGCAGCGCCCCTTGCCAGGTGGCCCAGCACGTGGGATGCCCGCACCATCTGGCATCTCCTGTCCACCCCTCCCAGGAGGAAACAAAGGGGCCACTGTGACCCCCACAGGATTCTGGTGGCCTCACAATGTCCCCCTGAGGTCACCACAGACATAACCTTGCCACCCCCTGCACCCACAGCACCAGTCTGCTGAGGCCAAGCGTGGGTGATCATCCTCGGTCCTCCCTCTGGCCACCCAGGGGAAGGCGTGGGCCGGAGCCGCACGAGGGAACCAGAACAGGGACGCACCTCCCCCACCCACTGAGGAGCAGCGCAGCGGGGCGTTTCCAGCCGCCATCCTGGAGGTCCTTGCACCCAACTCCCTTCACCTGCCGCAGGGAGAGATGCAGAAAGACACTTCACAGCTGCCTACGTCCGCGCCCCGGGCCTCAAGCACTGCCATGAGTGGAGGCCGGCAGGCCAGCGTGTCAGGGGTCTCTAGCAAGAGTGAGGCTGGGCACCGAAGCGGTTCCAAATCCCACCAGAAGCCCACCATATCCAAGGTGATCCTGAAGACTGTGGCAGACAAGGGAGTAGGCAAGCGCGTGTCCCTAGCCACCCTGAAGAAGGCTGTTGCCACCATGGGCTACAACATGGCACGAAACACCCGTTACTTCAAGCGTGTGCTCAAGGGGCTGGTGGACACGGGCAAGCTGAAGCAGGTGACTGGCAAGGGGGCCCTGGGCTCCTTCTGCATGGGCAAGAATCAGGCCTTCAAGTCCAAGCTCCAGGTCAAGAGAAGGCGGCAGCAGCAGCAGCGGAGGTCTGGGCAGCGCCGCCCTGGGCAGCGCCGCTCTGGACAGCGCCGCGCTGGACGGCGCAGGTCGCCATTGGGCTCCAGACAGGGGCACAGGCGGCCCTTCAAGAGGGCCTGCAGAGGGGCCAAGGGCCGCTACCATTAACGGGCCAGGCCAGCAAGTGGTCAGAGGCGCCAGGCCCGCCACAGGCTCAGTGCAGTGGAAATAAAAGGAGCCTGACTTATTTCACACCTGCCTCCTGGAATCTGGGGTTCAGGGGTGTAGCAGAGGAAGGAGACGAGGGGCGCAGAGGAGGGGTAAGTCCTTGGTAGGAGACTCCTAGGGCAAATAAGAGCAATGGATTTGGGAAGGGCTGGCAGTGCTGGAAGCATCCATAGACAGAGCTAGTCCAACCACGTGTTCCTGCAGGGGAGGATCTGAGGCCAGAAAGGATGATGGAACAATTGTGTGCTGGCCTGGACCCCGGGTGTCTGACTCATAGTGTGTGTGTGTGTGTGTGTGTGTGTGTGTGTGTACACACATGCTGGGAGCCTCTTAAGTTGCTTCTCAAACTCCTTCCCACAGAGTGGCATTAGGTACCCTTCTCCTGTGACACAAAAGACTCTTCTATGGGACCAGCAAATACGAAAGCAAGGTCACGCTAGGTCAGGCCCAGCAACCGACCAGCCCAGGGCTAGGGCTCAGAGGTCAAGGCTGGCTCATCTTCCCAGAGTAATCTGCTTTGTCTATGCTGCCCGGGGAGGCTGGAGGGCCCAGTTTGGCCATCTAGGCGGACTCCCACCCAGCCCCCAGCTCCCCTACTCACTCGGAGGTGGCCAGGTCTCTCTTCAGCCTGTGGAAGAGCGGGGGAGAGGGTCAGCTCGGCTCTGGCCTTGGCCCAAGGGTGGTGGTTTGTGTGTGATTACCCACAACCTCCTCCTGGTGCCAGGCCAGGTGGGTCCCCAGCCCCGAGCTGTCTAGAAAGGGGCCCTACACTCCTTTCTGCCTGGGAACCCGACTCTCTGAGGGGTCTGGGTCCCCATGCAACACAGGTGCCACAGGGTGTCCCATGGGTATGACCATCAGTGGGTGCCTCCCCACCCTCCGTCCACACACGCACCGTCCCTCCCGCCGGCAGCACATGATGTAGGCCAGCAGCAAGGTGAGTAGCAGGGCCACCAGCAGGGGCACCAGGAGGGTGACCAGAGCGTCCACTAGGAAGTCACGGGCCGGGGCCTCAGTGGGTGGGCAGAAGAATGGGTCATGCTCCAGGATCCCGTCGCCTGGGGTTGGGGCCTCATCTGCAGGCTCTGGCACTGACTTGTCCACCTGCACAGAGAGCCCAGGGGTATCTGGCAGGACACAGAGGCCCCCAGGGGACAGGGCAGGGTTCCAGGGACATCCTACCTATTGCCTCATGCAACCACAGGGCTCCTCCTGCCTACCTCGCTCAGCTCGTGTGACCTAGCTGGACAAGCACTGGACTAGGAGGCTGGAGAGACAAAGTCCTGGAGAGGCAGGGCAGTACAGTGGTTAGCGCACAGCTCCGGGGTCTGACTGCCTTGGCTTGAATCCCGACTCAGACAAGCACTTAGCTGGGATGACTTACTTGATTTTTTTGTTTTTTTTTTAAAGACAGAGTCTCACTCTGTTGCCCGGGTTAGAGTGCTATGGCGTCAGCCTAGCTCACAGCAACCTCAAACTCCTGGGCTCAAGCGATCCTCCTGCCTCAGCCTTCCAAGTAGCTGGGACTACAGGCATGCACCACCATGCCCGGCTAATTTTTTCTATGTATTTTTAGTTGTCCAGCTAGTTTCTTTCAATTTTTAGTAGAGATGGAGTCTGGCTCTTGTTCAGAGCTGGTCTCGAACTCCTGACCTCAAGCAATCCTCCTGTCTCGGCCTCCCAAAGTGCTAGGATTACAGGCATGAGCCACCACGCCCAGCTGGGGTGACTGACTTTTAAGTGCCTCAGTTTCCTCAGCCGTAAAGTCGATAATAGTGGCATCTGCCTGCTGGAGTAGTTGTGAGGATAAAACATGTTGATTGGACAGTGCCTACCTAGCAAGTGCTTAAGAATGTTGTCAATTACCAGGTCCTGGCTGTCAACCCGAATAAGTTCCTGCTCTGTCAGCAATTCACAGGACACTAGCAGCGGGACCCCGGGTACCTCAACTGAGTGTCCCAGAGCTGTAGTAAGCATCCCTGAGTTATAGTATGGAGAGCTATCAGCTCCTGGCTGCAGGCCAGTTTGCTAGGAGGCACCTTAGAAGGAAGCAGACAGCTGTCACGCAGAGGTCCTTGGTGGGGAAAGAGTTTGGGAACCAGCCTGGGGGATGTGAGTGATTGTTTTAGATGTTGGGCTGGACAGCTGTGGGACGCCAGGAGTTGGAGACCCCTTAGGGGGAGTGCAGACTCTGTCGCCCTCTTGTGGGAGAAGGTAGAACTTCAGGGTGTGTGGGAAAGACCGAGACCAAGACCACTGACTAATTGAGGCCAAGACAGACCATCAGAGAAGCAGGGACTAGACAAATCAGAGACTGGAGTGGGAAGCGGTGTGGAGGGAGGGGGGACTGTGATGGGCCATGCCCCACCCCCACCCCAAGAACCAGGGTCCCTCCTCACCAGGGACACATTGCACCAGTCAACACGGAAGTAGGGTGCCAAGGTGTCATAGCAGGACAGAAGTGGAGGCTGGCCCTGGGTGCAGCGGGCATGGCTGTCGGGGGATGCCACCATCTTCAGGCAGGTAGAGAAGGGTGAGGCAGAGCCCACCTTGATGTACACCCTGGGCCCAGAGACAAGTCACTGTCAGCAGAGCAGGGGCAGGGACACCAGGCACCCCTCTGCCGGGTGTTGTTGAAGCTGTCCTGATTGCAGGCTGTGACCTGGGATGGGAGAGGGGAGGAGGCCTAGGAGGGGGTTTAGGCAGGAAATCTGGTAAGCAGGGGCCCTGGCAGGAGAGGTCGCAGGGCCCCCGAGATCTGGGGTTATAGTGAGAGTGCACAGAGCACCCGACTCTTCTGTGCTGTAGGAGGCCTTAGTCCCCAAAGAATGTCCTTTGATGGATGGATCTTCTGTCCTCACAGGGCACCAGGAAGTAGAGAGTTCAGGGTTACCAGGGCTTGGGCTCAGAAAGCACAGGAAGGAGATGGGGGTGGGGCTGGAGGGCAGTGGACAGTGGTGTGAAGCTGGGAGGTTGAGGTGGGCATGGTAAAGCCCCACATGGAAATTAGGGAGACCCTGTTCTATGCACACCACCCAGACAAAAAACAAGCTCCCTCCTCTTTCAGGAAGCCCTCCTGGGTTGCACACCTACCCTTCCTTGCGACCCTCAATGGGAAGTGGGACACGGCCCCCACGGTCCAAGGCAGAAGTGATGTTGAGCAGCTGGAGCTCCCCGGGCTCCCAGAGGCCCCCCAGGGCTGTGAGGAAGTGGCTGGCTGGTGTGGAGGGCAGCACCTCTTCCACATCATGGCTGCGAACCAGGAACTCAGCTTGGTAGGGCAGCAGGGGACCTGGGAAGGCCAGGTGGGCACCTCAGCATCACCCAGGCCCCAGCTCTGCCCCCCAGATGCTTCCCAAGCCTCCCCCAAGCTCCTCCCCACACCCCCATGCCACCACAGCCTTTCCTGCCCCGCAAGGCCCTGCACATCACCCCGCCGGCCCAGCGGCCCTGCCCCAACCCCCAGAGGCTCACTGACTTGCCAGAGCTGCCCCAGCCCCAGAGCCTGGAAGCCCAGTCCAGGGAAGGGGCGGGGCGGGGCGGGAAGTACCTTCTGGGTCCCCCGTCACCAGCACCAGCCTCTGCCTAGTGGTGTCGAAGCTGTCCCGATTGTAGGCTGTGACCTGGGGGACGGTGAGGAGGGCTCAGAGGTGGATCAGGAGAGAAACCTGGCGCAGCTGGAGCCTGGCAGGCGGGCTGAGACGCCGCGCCAGATTAGAGGTATGTAAATTATATGCAAATGACCACGGCGGAACTCCCGATCCCCACCGGCAGGGCGGCTCCTAGGAGGCCGCGCTGCCCCGCCCCCGTGAGCTTTTGAGGGTCCCTGATGGCACCTCGATGACCTGGCGCCCGCGATCTTCTGGGGTAGCGGTGCCGTAGAGGAAGCCAGGGTGGCGGGGGCTGCGCTGGGTGTAGCGCAGCCACCGGGGCAGGTCTGGGTGTCCCTGGAGGTGGGCATGGTAGGTGATGCGGACGGTGGGGGGCACAGCTGGCAGAAGAGAGGAGAGGGGTCGGAGTCACAACAGGAGCCCCGAAAGGCACAGCCCAGCCCTCCCGGTGCCGTCAGGCCCCTCTCACCGCCGTCCTCCGGAAGGCGCAGAAAGGTCGCGTGATCCAAGGTGTGCACAAAGACGCGGCCCACAAGCGGGTGTAGGGTGGTCTGCTGGGCCTTGGTGCCCCCCAGCCCTGCCAGGAGACCTGCGGGGACCCCACAAGTCCCAAACACACAGACCAGCCTCAGTGCCTTCCCTTCCAAATCCTGGTGCCCCTATGGGACTCGGAGAAGGGGGCTCCCTTGCGGGCTCCCTGGAAAGGACCAGCCCGCAGTGGGAGGGGCAGGCCTGGCTGCGCTGGACATTGCCATCGGCGACAAAACCCGGACTTCCATTTGGTTTGGATTTCTGGGGCCGCCGCCCCCACGAAAACCTTTCCACGCCTCAATCTGGGCTCCCCAGTAAGGGTCGCAGTGGGCAGGGACTGATGTTGGGCTATCTGTGTGTGTGTGAGGGGCACTTGGAAAAGAACTCATGCCAAATGTCCCAGAGGCTGGAGGGGACGGGGACAGGAAGGAGCCTACAGAGGAGGGGGTAGCCACTCTGGGACCCAGAAACCCCCTTCTACCTCCCCTAATACCCAGGGAGGAGCAGGGCCAGCCCCAGGGGCCAATAGGAGCTGAGCGAAGGGGACCCTAAGCCCCAAGAGAACTGGAGGACCTGCCCACCAGCCCCACCCTCCCTCTCAGGGCCAAATTTAGCCTGGGCCTAGGCAGAAGCAGTGGCTGCCAGCCCATTAAAGGGCCCACAGCCCTCCGGGCCTGGCCTGGCAGGCCCACCTGGCCCTAGGACACCCCCAGCCCTCAGAGCTCCCAGCCCACATCTCACACCCCACATCCCAGAGCCCAGCTCCCAGCCCGGCCTGCTGCTGGCCACAGCTGCAACACCCCAGAACCCTGCCAGCCCCCGCCTCGCCCGTCCCAGAACCCCCCTCTGAGGACCCTCCTTGCTTCCGTCCCATCACTGCAAATCCCCTCCCTCATTCTGGACCTCCCCACTGAAGAAGGCCCCAACTTGCCCACGAGGACAGGAATCCAGGTTAGCATGGCTGCCATGGCTGGGCTGGCCTGGCCCTGCCTGTGAGTGACAGAGACAGGGGCAGGGAGGAGGGCGGGAGGGAGGGAGAGGAGGAGTCCCTGAGCAGCTGGGCCCCATCCCCGCCCAGAGCAGCACTAAGCTGGAGAGGACACCCTCCTCACACACAATGTCCTCCAATACGTTTTCTAAGGCCCCAACCTGACTACCTTAAAATCCTGATGGCTCCCATTCCCCTTCAGTTCCCAGCCCATGCCCAGCTGGGGGCTCTCCAACACTTCCTGCACCTGCCCTCCTGTCTAGAACCCCACCTCTGCCCACCCCCCTCCCCCACCCCCACCCCAGGTTCCTGCCAGCCTCCCTCTGCCTCTCCCTGGAGTGACAGGCCCTCTGAAGCCTCCAGCCTCTGCCCAGCCGTTCCCTCTGCCTGGGGTTCCCGTCCCGCCTTCATCTGAGCAGCAAACTTCCAGTCACCCTTCCAGACCCTGCAGAAACATCCCTCTTCTCTCTGAAGCCTTTCTGCCCACCCTCCTTCTCCTAGGCCAAGCTGGGTGACCCCCAGCCCCTGGGTGACCCCCTGTCCCCTGTGTGAGACCCAACCACTCAGCACTGTGAAGTGGTATTGGTACTCTGAGCTCCTTAGAGACTGGGATCTTATTATCTTCACATCCCTACGCCTACTAGTCACCTGGCACAGGGCCTGTGACTAGTAGGTGTAGCAGCTGGGTGACAGCTTCCTTCACAGCAAATGAGCGTGTGGTTCACTCAGCCCTCACCCCCAGACCAAACACCCTGAGCTCGTAGGTCTGGGGAAAGAGCGCCCTGGACAGGAACAGCCAGGTAGAGACAGGTGAGCGGAGGAGGTGCCCTCTCTGGCCCACAGAGTCGGAGCTAAGCACATGGGCCCAGAGGCGGGCACACGTGTCACCTTGGGCACAACTATACACTGGCAAGAATAGCACTTGCTCTTTGGTCAGCGTGAGGAATCCCACAGCAGTTCCATGAGCAGGTACCATTATTGTCCCCATTTTACAGATAGTAAAAACGAGGCACAGGGTGAGTAGCCCCCTCAGGGCCACGTTGCTGAGCAGCTGAATGCACATGAAGTGCTCAGCCAGGTGCTCACACAATCAGCGCCAGCCGTTAACATACTCGTGGGCACCACTTCCCCTTCCTTCTTGCGTCTGCCAAGGATCTTGGTGCAAGTGTGACCAGGATGCGGTGTCTTCCTCTCCCTGGGTCTCCCACTCAGGGCGGGCAGAGGGGCACTCTGCCCCGGGGCCACGGCCACCAGGGTTCGCATGTCCTTGGCGCCCATGCAAGCGTTCCTCAAAGGTCTCAAGACCAAGGGTGCAGCCCCCTCACCCCCACAACCCAACGCCCCAGGCAAGGACGACTGGGACCTGCCCTGGGTCTGGCCTAAGGGCAAGGTCCAGTCTCCAGCCTCTGCCCAGCTGTTCCCTCTGCCTGCAGTTCCCGTCCCCCCTTCATCTAAGCAGCAAACTTCCAGTCACCCTTCCAGACCCTGCACAGACATCCCTCTTCTCTCTGAAGCCTTTCTGCCCGCCTCCCTCTCCCAGGCCAAGCTGGGTGACCCCCAGCCCCTGTGTGAGACCCGGCTACACAGCACCGTGGCGTGGTATTGGTGTTGGCCTGCACACGGGGGTAACTGGTGGCAAGGTTACTTAGTCCTTGTCCTTTCTTCGCTCTCTCCCCACCTGACTGTCCCACCTATCCCTGGAGAGCCACCAAATTCTAGAGTCAGCGTCCACTCCGGCTCTCAGACAAGGTGGTATTTGTCCCAGAATCACCTTGGCATGTCTCTGCAGACGGAGGAGGGAGGAAGAAAGGTTCCAGAGGCAGGGGGAGCATCAGAGGGCTCTAGGGGAGCAGGCAGAAGGGCCAGAGCCGGGCAGCTGCTCAAGCCTCACCCCTGAGCTTCTCCGTGTGACTCCTCTCCCTCCTCCTTTCTGCCTGCCCTGCTATTTTTGGAGCCACCCACTCACACCCTCAGCTGTCTTAAGGTAACAATGCCTGTACCCGAGTCATCAGGCGCATGAAGGCCAGCCTTCTTTAATGGAAAAGCTGCAGCTACCTCCTCTTCTGACTCCCCCCTAATTCAGAGGAGCCAGGGACTATCCTAGGAGCCAGCTGGAAGTCCCCAGAAAGCCTTCTCAGGCCTCTAGCCCACAGGAGGACCTCCCCAACTCCGATCTGTCTTTACTGCAACCTGCTGCTGTAACACACAGCACCTTCTATGTCTTGGGACCTAGGGGTAGGACAGGGGAAAGGAGGCTGGGGGGTGGTCCACAAGGTCTTTAAACTTCTTACTTTGAAAAAAATTTTAAAGTATACAGAATAGGCCAGGCGAGGTGGCTCATGCCTGTAATCCTACTACTCTGGGAGACTTGGCGGGAGGCTTGAGTTACAAGTTCAAGATCAGCCCGAGCAAGAGTGAGACCCTGTCTCTACTAAAACTAGAAAGAAAAAAATATTATCCAGGCGTGGTGGCAAGTGCCTGTAGCTCAGTTCCTTGAGAGGCTGAGGCAGAAGGATCCCTTGAGCCCAGGAGTTTGAGGTTGCCGTGAGCTAGGCTGACACCACGGTACTGTAGTCCAGGCAATAGAGCCAGACTCTGTCTCAAAAAAAAAAAAAGTATATGGAATAATATTATGAGTCCGCTGTATCCATCACCCAGATTCAACAGTTATCAACTCATCTATACCCACTTCCAATTATTCCTCCCATTCAATTTTATCTGTCAATATTTCGGTGCATATCTTTAAAAAATAATGACTCTATTTAACATAATCACATATGAACATCATCAATAACTCCTTATTACCAAAGTTCCAGTGTTCCAATTTCCAATTTCTCATAAATGTCATTTTTTTACAATGTATTTGTTTAAATAAGGATGCAAATAGGGCACACACATTGCAACTAATTGATAGGTCTCTTTTATTTTTATTTATTTATTTATTTATTTTTGAGACAGAGTCTCACTCTGTTCCCCAGGCTAGAGTGCCATGGCGTCATGCCTAGCTCACAGCAACCTCAGACTCCTGGGCTCAAGCAATCCTCCTGTTTCAGCTTCCTGAGTAGCTGGGACTACAGATATTTGCCACCATGCCCGGCTAATTTTTTCTATATATTTTTAGTTGGCCAATTAATTTCTTTCTATTTTTAGTAGAGAGGGGGTCTTGCTCAGGCTGGTTTCAAACTCCTGACCTTGAGAGATCCGCCCGCCTTGGCCTCCCAGAGAGCTAGGATTACAGGCGTGAGCCACCGTGCCCGGCCTGATTGATAGGTCTCTTTTAAATCTCTTCAAACCTATAGGTTTCCCCATCCATCTCTCTCACTTCTCCCTCTCTCTCTCTCTTTTCTCTCTCTCTCTCTCTTTAAAGGAACCAGATCATTTCTTCTGTAGTTTTCCACAGTCTGGATTTTGCTGATTTCATGTCTAGGATGTTCTTTAACAGGTTCCTCTGACCTCGGTATTTCCTGTACCTTGTTATGGCCTGTAAATTGTAGTTGGATCTAGAAGCCTGATCAGGTTTAGGCGCAGCTTTCTTTGGCGAGACCACTTCATAGGTGGTGGTGGTGTTCTTCCATCTGGAAACACATCGTGTGTTTCTGGGACCTTAGCTTTTTTTCCCCTCTAAAATGGTGATATTCAAAATTCAATCATTCCTTCCTTTATTAGCTAGAATAATTCTAGACAGAGAAACTGCTCCTCACTATTTGGTTCCTGAGTGGTATAGTGCACATAGGAAAGATGAGATAAATGCTCGATTCTTTTTCTATATTTATCAGTTTCAAAATAAATTGATTCCCTGGCATCCACCAGACTGTAACCAATTCAGGTTTTTTCTCCCCACTAGTAGTATAATTATGAATTTGTGGTTTAAATATATTTGATTGCTTCAATTCCTTGCAACAAGTGTACCTCCTGGTGCTCAAATTGTCCCAGCTGGAGAACTGCCTGGGGGACGTGGGGGTCAGGTTCTCCCCGCCTCTCCCGGCCTTGTCTCAGCCGGAGCTGCCATTGCAGCTGCCTTATCCTGCCACCCTGTCTGCTGAGCGAGCTGGCTCTCTGTCCTCGCTTCTTTGCCATCTCTGCCCATTGGTGCCTAAATATAAGCCCTCTGGCACTTTGTCCCTGTCTCTCCCCATCCAGGTGACTATTTTCTGAATGAATGAATGAGTGAATTCTGTCAATTCTGTCTCATTCCACTTCCGTCTCTAGGAACCTGTCTCCCTAAGTCTCTTGATGTCTGAGGCCCGTATGTTCTTTATCTGCATCCACACGTTGTCGTGAGGGACAAAGGAAAAGGATTGTCGTCCTTGTGATCTGATTCCGCATCTGCCTCCCAGACTCCACCCACATCTTTCTCCCGCATCCTCTTCCCCGCCCCCAGCGCGACAACAAAGGCTGCGACTCGGTCAGTGCGCCACGAGAGGGCGCGTTCGCTGGCTGCAGCCCGGCCCTGCGCCTGCGCAACGCTGGGGCAGAGCTGGGGGTCGGGGCGGGATGGCGGCGGAGCGCCCGCCCCGGGCTGGGGACGAGCGTCACTATTACGTGTTGAGCGCCGCAGTAGGGGACCGGAGGCCACGGGCTGCGCCTCATCCTTCCCTTTCCGATCCAGAGGATGTTCTTCCCTATGGAAGGAGGAGACCCGCATGGAGGCAGGGAGCTAGACAGAATGATCTCTTCTCCGCTCCACCTCCACCCACCCTATCATCTATATGAACCCTCTGACTTCCAGGGACATTTCCATATCCTCCATATCCCCCCAGACACTGGGGTACCATCTTGAACACCTAAGTGTATCTCCAGAACATCCCCCCCCCTTTTTAGAGAGGGGGATCTCGCTGTATTGCTCAAGCTGGTCTTGAACTCCTATACACTTCAGCATTCTCCCACCTCAGCCTCCCCAGTAGCTAGGACTACCGGTGTGAGCCACCTCACGCAACTACCCACCTTTTTTATTGGTGACTTTGCAGCCCTCGAAGTGGTTCCTTGAGCCTCCAACCGACCAAAGCCATCAAACATGAGTTCCAGAATGCCAGAGACCATTCCTGGCCAAGCTTTTTGGCTTACTAGAGAAACAGGATGGGGGAGGGGAAGGGGACTGTCATAGATGTCACAAAACAGTGCTCTGCACACCTGGATCTCTGGACACTGAGCCCAGGGCCATTTCTACCCAGACACTCCCTGTATGTAAAGTGGGTGTAAGAAGGATCAATGAGATAATGGAAGTGGAAGTGCTTTGTAAACTGTAAAGCTCAGGAGAAAGTAAGGGGTCTTTTATTTATTTATAACTAACAGTGCAGGGTAATAGCTGCCCAGGGCCAGCCCACTGGCATGGCCTGAGAGCTGGATTTAGAGGTCAGATTTAGAAGCCACCATTCACTGATAGACAGATTAGGAAAGTAAAAGAGACAAAATCACTGACATCATTTGTAGATGGTATTACTTATATAGAAAATCCTGAGACCACTTGCTCAAGGCCTCTTGGGTATGGCTCCGGGCATGGTCCTCATGGCTCAGAATAAACCTCTTTAAATTATTTTTTAAAAGGAAGAAAGAAAATCTAATAGATTCTACAAGCATATTATTAGAGTTATTAAGTGAGCTCAGCAAGGTTGCTGGACAAAGATCAACATCCAAATACCAATAAACTACAAAATTCGACAGTGCTGCTATACACTATCAATAATTTATTAGAAATCATTGTATCTTTTTAAAAAGCAATCATTCACAAAAAAATGTACAGAATCCAGAAAAAAACTCAGACATTTCAAGATATGTTATGAAGGCAAACATTCTAGGCTATAAAAGGAATAAATGGAGACATGTAGAGACCTATTCAGTTTAGGAGTACAAAGCCTCAGTATCATGAAGATGATTTTCTCCACATCAATCTGTTGATCCAATGCATGTCGAGTAAATATCCCAACAGGATTTTGCACAGAGCTAGACAAACTGATTGTAAAGGGAAGAGCAAAGGCTAGACAATTCTGAAAATGAACAAGGAGAAGGGCCTGCCCCTAACAGATGCCAAGACTTTTTTGAAAGCGATAGTAATTAAAACAATGTGGTATTGGTGCCGGGCTAGACAAAGGGATCGATAGAATAGAGTGCCCAGAAACAGATCCAAGCATATGTGGGAATTTGATTTATGATGGTGGTGGCACTGCAGCTCAGTGAGAGAGAAAATACTATTCAATAAAAACTGTTGTGACAATTGGCTTTTCCTATGAAAAATCTTCACACGATCCATAACTATGAATTCCAGATGGATGAAAGAACTAAAAGTGAAAAACAAAACTTTAAAATAATTAGGAGAAAATACAGAACACCTAAGGGTAGGAGAGTATTTATTAGACAAGAGACACACTTGCAAAAGATGGACTGATTTTATCATATTACCCTCAAAAAAAGCCTTCTGCTGTGAAAATGGCATTACAAAGTTAACAGACAAGCAACAGTGTGGGTGTCAATGTTGGCAGCACATACAACAGATAAAGGGTTAATATTCAGAATATAGAAAGACCTTCTAGAAATCAAAAAGGACAGGACAGACCTTTTGAGTGCCACTCCAAATAGCATCCTTTCCTTTCTTCCGCCATAATAGAACCTTGATCTGATTCAAGGGTTTGGGCTTTGGGGGAAACTGGGCCTTCCCCAGCCTCATCAGGTGAACTGTTATTGGTCTAAATATAGCGCAATGATTTTGTTTCTCTGGTCAGTGACTGGTTTAGGCGTGGACATTTATGCAATTCTGGTCACCAAGATGGGAAGAGAGATTGCCTGTGAGGCCCATGGAAAAGACTCTAATAAGAAACCATTGGATCAAGGATCGGCCGGGTGTGGTGGCTCATGCCTGTAATCCTAGCACTCTAGCAGGCCAAGGCGGGCGGATGGCTCCAGGTCAGGAGTTCGAAACCAGCCTGAGCAAGAGCGAGACCCCCTCTCTACTATAAATAGAAAGAAATTAATTGGCCAACTAATATATATAGAAAAAATTGGCCGGGCATAGTGGCGCGTGCATGTAGTCCCCAGCTCTTGGGGCTGAGGCAGCAGGATCGCGTTGAGCCCAGGAGTTTGAGGTGCTGTGAGCTAGGCGCAGGGCTTCACTATAGCCTGGGTAGGAAAAAACAGACTCTGTCTCAAAAAAAAAAAAGAAAGAAAAAGAAAGAAAAGAAGAAAAGAAAGAAAGAAAGAAAGAGCAAGCAAGCAAGCATCGGACCGGCTGAGGCTGCGCAGCTGGGAAGGGACAGCGGCTACTGCAGCACTAGGGTGTCAGTTGTGGGTCCTGCCCGGAACACTTCAGGTCTGCTCTGCAAGGATATATAATAACTGATTGGTGTGTCCATTTAATACAAGAAAATGGAAACTGAACAGCCAGAGGAAACCTTCCCCAACACTGAAACCAACGGTGAATTTGGTAAAGGCCCTGCAGAAGATATGGAAGACGAACAAGCATTTAAAAGGTCTAGAAACACTGATGAGATGGTTGAATTATGCAATCTGCTTCAGAGCAAGAATGCTGGGGCAGTGATTGGAAAAGGAGGCAAGAATATTAAGGCTCTGTGTACTGACTACAATGCCAGTGTTTCAGTCCCAGACTGCAGTGGCCCCGAGCGCATATTGAGTATCAGTGCTGATATTGAAACAATTGGAGAAATTCTGAAGGAAATCATCCCTACCTTGGAAGAAGGCCTGCAGTTGCCATCACCCACTGCAACCAGCCAGCTCCCACTAGAATCTGATGCTGTGGAATGCTTAAATTACCAGCACTATAAAGGAAGCGACTTTGACTGCAAGTTGAGAATGTTGATTCATCAGAGTCTGGTGGGAGGAATTATTGGGGTCAAAGGTGCTAAAATCAAATAACTTTGTGAGAATACTCAAACAACAATCAAGCTTTTCCAGGAATGCTGTCCTCATTCCACTGACCCATTCCAATAAGTCATTCTTATTTGAGGAAAACCTGGTAAAGTTGTAGAATGCATAAAGATCATTCTCGATCTTATATCTGAGTCTCTCATCAAAGGACGTGCACAGCCTTATGATCCCAGTTTTTACGATGAGACCTATGATTATGGTGGTTTTACAATGATGTTTGACAACCACCGTGAACGGCCTGTAGGATTTCCAATGCGGGGAAGGGGTGGTTTTGACAGAATGCCTCCTGGTCGGGGCGGGTGTCCCATGCCTCCATCTGGAAGAGATTATGATGATTTGAGCCCTCGTAGAGGACCACCTCCCCCTCCTCTTGGGTGAGGTGTCCAAGGTGGTAGTAGAACTCCGAATCTCCCTCTTCCTCCACCACAACTTCTTAGAGGAGGAGATCTAATGGCCTATGATAGAAGAGGAAGACCAGGAGACCACTACGATGGCATGGTTGGTTTCAGTGCTAATGAAACTTGGGATTCTGCAATAGATACACGGAGCCCATCAGAATGGCAGATGGCTTATGAACCAAAGGGTGGCTCTGGATATGATTATTCCTATGCAGGGGGTTGTGGCTCATATGGTGATCTTGGTGGACCTTTTATTACTACACAAGTAACTATTCCCAAAGATTTGGCTGGATCTATTATTGGCAAAGGTGGTCAGTGGATTAAACAAATCCGTCATGAGTCAGAGCTTCAATCAAAATCAATGAGCCTTTAGGAGGATCCGAAGATTGGATCATTACCATTACAGGAACACAGGACCAGATACAGAATGTACAGTATTTGCTGCAGAACAGTGTGAAGCAGTATGCAGATGTTGAAGGATTCTAATGCAAGATATTTTTTCTTTTTTATAGTGTGAAGCAGTATTCTGGAAAGTTTTTCTAAGACTAGTGACGAACTGAAAGAGTCCTGCATCTTTTTTTTTTTTTATCTGGTTCTGTTTAAAAAGCCAACATTCCTCTCCTTCATAGGTGTTTTGCATTTGAGGTGTAGTGAAATCTTTGCTGTTCACCAGATGTAATGTTTTAGTTCCTTACAAACAGGGTTGGGGGAGGAGGGCATCCAAAAACTAACATTGAAATTTTGAAACAGCAGCAGAGTGAGTGAATTTTATTTTTTGTTCATTGTTGGTGGTTTAAAAAAAGTTTCCCCCATGTAATAATTGTGAACACCTTGCTTTGTGGTCACATTTGGGGGTGGGACAGGGAGGAAACTAACAATAGTCCACATGTCTCTGGCATCTGTTTAGAGCAGTGTGCAGAATGTTATGCTGTTTTGTAAGAAATGTTTTATGATTTTTAAAATAAATTTAGTGAACCAAAAAAAAAAAAAAAGAAAGAAAAGAAAAAAGAAAGCATCAATTGCCTTGGACACTGTCGTCTACATGAGACACCTGGAAATGAGGCAGCCATCTTGGGACCATGAAGGGCCAGTCTATAAGAGAAGCCAACACAACAAGGAGGGTATTGCAGAAAGACAAAAAGACCCTGGTCCTTGCTGTTACAGTTGAGTCTCTGAATTAACCAACCCTAGGACTTCTTGTTGTGTCAGATAATAAAATTCCTTTTTGCCTAAAGCCCTTCTAGCTAGGCTTTGTGCTGTCACTTGCACCAAAAGCTACAATAGGCAAGCAAAGGATATGTACATAAGTGATTTGCCTAGAGGAAACCCCAGATGGCCAATGAGCACAGTAAGATGCTCGACCTCATAGGCAGGGAATGCAGCTTCAAATGAGATACCAGTTCACACTCATCGGATTGGCAAAAATAAGTCTAACAAGAGCAAACATTGGCAAGGAGATGGTCACACAGGACATCTTGTACAAATAAATGCTGGTGGTGAGAGGATAAATTGGTTCGGCTGCTGCAGAGAGCAGTCTGGCAGTACCAGTGAAGTTGAAAGTGTACCTGCCCTACAATCCCAGCTTTCTACTTCTAAGTATATACTCTAAAGTTGGGTTTTGAGAAAAGTGCAAGGGTGTTTATGCAGCCCTCCTTAAAATAGTGAAACATTGAAACAATCTAAATGCCCATCAGTAGAGGAACTGATAAATAAATTATGGCTTAATCACATGATAAAATAATAAACAGAAGTCAAAATGAGCAAACCAAATGGACAAATGAGACTCCACTGCGAAAGTATGGTGAGTGGGAAAAGGCACAAAATGGTACAAATAATAGTGTGATAGCTGTTACATAAATTTTAAAAATATAGAACTCCATAAAGCAGCACTACTATGTGCTGCTGTTTTATGAATACTTAAGTGTGTAGGGAAAATGTGAAATTATGGACTATACTTAAAAAGGAAGGAAATTCAGCATGTATCATCTTTGAAAACATTATGCTAAGTGAAATAAACCAGACACAAAAGGACAAATGCTGTATGGTTCCATTTATATGAGGTACCTAGAGTAGTCAAATTCACAGAGACAGAAAGTACCACAATGGTACCTGGGGCATAAGGGTAGGGGGAGGAGGAGTAATTGTTTTATGGGTATGACGTTTCAACTTTGGAAGATGGAAAAAGTTCTGGAGGCCAGGCGAGGTGGCTCATGCCTGTAATCTTAGCACTCTGGGAGGCTGAGGTGGGCGAATGGCTCAAGGTCAGGAGTTCAAAACCAGCTGAGCAAGAGCAAGACCCCATCTCCACTATAAATAGAAAGAAATTAATTGGCCAACTAAAAATATATAGAAAAAATTAGCCGGGCATGGTGGTGCATGCCTGCAGTCCCAGCTACTTGGGAGGCTGAGATAGCAGGATCGCTTGAGCCCAGGAGTTTGAGGTTGCTGTGAGCTAGGCTGACGCCACGGCACGGCACTCTAGCCCGGGGAACAGAGTGAGACTCTGTCTCAAAAAAAAAAGTTCTGGAGACAGTGGTGTTGGTTGTACAACCATGTGGATGTACATAATGCCAATGACTTGTACACTTAAAAATTTGGTTAAAATGGTGAATTTTATATGTATAAATTTGCTGTAACCGCAAAATAATAATGCAAAAATTATGGTCCAGAAAGGATGCATTTCAAATTTGTGAGTGTGGGGAGGGTGGAAAACGGGACAGGGGGATAAAAAGGGAAGGTTTCAACTCAAACTCGAATATTCTCTTTCTTTTATATGAAAAAACCTGAAGCAAAAATGGCACATTGCTAGCTAGCATTTGTAAATTCTGTTTGTTAGGGGATTCTCTGAACCTCCCTTGTTTTTTTTGAAACAGTGTCTTACTCTCGCCCTGAGCAGAGTGCCGTGGCGTCAGCCTAGCTCAGAGCAACCTCAGACTCCTGGGCTCAAGCAATCCTGCTGCCTCAGCCTCCCGAGTAGCTGGGACTACAGGCATGCGCCACCATGCCCGGCTAATTTTTTCTACTTATTTTTAGTTGTCCAGCTAATTTCTTTCTATTTTTTCAGTAGAGACGAGGTCTCACTGTTGCTCAGGCTGGTATCAAACTCCTGAGCTCAAAGGATCCACCAGCCTTGGCCTCCCAGAGTGCTAGGATTACAGGTGTGAGCCACCATGTCTGGGTCTGCCTCTTGTTTTTGTTTTTGTTTTTTTTAAAGAAAACAATATCTTTTACTTTTTTTAAAAAAATCACAATCTGGCTCATGGATTTTCTTTTTCTTTTTTTAAAAAAACAATATCTTTTACTTTTTTCTTTTGTTTTTTTTTTTTACTGGCTCTTGTTTTTAAAGAAACTTTCATGGGCCGGGTGCAGTGGCTCACACCTGTAATCCTAGCACTTTGGGAGGCCGAGGTGAGAGGATTGCTTGAGCTCAGAAATTCAAGGATGCAGTGAGCTATGATGAGACCACTGCACTCCAGCCTGGGTGACAGAGTGAGACCCTGTCTCAAAAATAAAAAAGAAAGAAAGAAAAAAAGAAAGAAACTCTTTTTTTTTGAAACAGAGTCTCACTCTGTCACCTGGGCTAGAGTGCCATGACGTCAGCCTAGCTCACAGCAACCTCAAACTCCTGGGCTCAAGTGATCCTCCTGCCTCAGCCTCCCGAGTAACTGGGACTACAGGCACGTGCCACCATGCCCGGCTAATGTTTTTTCTATTTTTAGTTGTTTGGCTAATTTCTTTCTGTTTATAGTAGAGACAGGTCTCGCTCTTGCTCAGGCTGGTCTCGAACTTCTGAGCTCAAGCAATCCTCCCGCCTCGGCCTCCCAGAGTGCTAGAATTACAGGCATGAGCCACCGCAGCTGGCCCAAAGAAAGAAACTTTTAAAACTAAAAAAATAAGGCTAAATAATAAAAATTGTCTTTAGAACTGCCCTGAAGGGGCAAGGTTTTCACCTGTCACCTCCACGGCCACATGAGTCCAAGGGGCGGAGTGTGGGAGACCCGAGCTGGTGTTATGGAGGCTGTACCTGTGCAGGCTTCATGCGAGCCTGGCAGAGCCGGGCAGGGGCAGTGGGGATGGGAGATGTCAGGGCCCTCTTTCCCCCAACCCAGTGCAGGCAAGGCAAAGGCTGGCAGAAACAGGCGACTATGAGAACCATTAGCCCTCTCAGGCCCCCACCACACAAGATCCAGAGGGCACATGAAAAATAGGAACCATCAAAATACAGAATTGTGTATTATTAGTAGTGGGAGCAGACAGTAGGAAGAATTCTTTGAATCTGCTGGTGACAAAATATATTGGCTAATCTTTCTGATTATTTTTTTTCTTTGACCTCCCTGCATATCTCTAGCGCTCCCACGGCTATGGCTGTCTGCGTTGCAAAATACATATTTACAGGCCCTCTACGCCCAGCTAAATATAGGCTTTCTTTTAAAGCAACTGATGATTTGGAGAAATCTTTCCTCTGTCCCACTCCTTCCCCCATCCCTGAACACACACACACACCCACACTCCCCCCCACACACACCCTGACTCCTCTCAGTCTTTCCTCTCTCCCCTCTGGTCTCCAAGATGTATCTGAACTTTCCAGGTGCCACTGGAGTGCACTGTGGAGAATGAGAAAGAAACGGGCACAGTGAGGGAACAGGCAACAAGGCAGTCTCCCAGCTATGGGAGGACCCCAAGGGACCCCTCTCCCTGCAGGGGCAATGGTGGGCTTACAGCACCGACAGGTAGGAATGGAAACACTCTGGGAGGTAGAGAAGGGAGGTCACCTTCACCCCAAGAATGATCCCAAAAGCTTGCGAGGAACTGAAGGCAGGGGCTGCTTATGTTTCAGAATTTCACATAGTGGACCTTAAAAGGCAACGACAGACCCAAAGTGCCATGCAGACACACTTAGAGGCCGGGTGTGGTGGCTCACGCCTGTAATCCTGGCGCTCTGGGAGGCTGAGGTAGGCGGATTGCTCGAGGTCAGGAGTTCAAAACCAGCCTGAGCAAGAGCTAGACACCGTGTCTACTATAAATAGAAAGAAATTAATTGGCCAACTAATATATATATATATATAGAAAAAATTAGACGGGCATGGTGGCGGATTGCTTGAGCCCAGGAGTTTGAGGTTGCTGTGAGCTACGCTGATGCCACGGCACTCACTCTAGCCTGGGCAACAAAGCAAGACTCTGTCTCAAAAAAAAAAAAAAAAAAAAAGATACACTTAGAGATGCAAACACTGATGTTCATTCTCGGGCATACCTGCTCACGCAGGTGCACGCACGCACACACCCATACACGCTTGGGTACTCGTGCGGTCAGTAAGAGCCTACACTCCGGGTGCCGCCTTTGTGCCTTATGCCTTGAGAGCTCATTTAATGCTGGCAGCAATTCTATGAGGTTGGTATATTATCTCTGTCTTACGAATGAAGGAATTTGTTGAAGTTCCTTAGCTGGCAAGTAGCAGGTGGAAATTGTAACAAAGAGGCTCTGGCTTCAATGCCCATGTTCTGCTGTGCTCCTCACACGGAGTGGAGGACACCTGGGGTACACCCAGTGTCCCCTGTGCTCAGGAGACAGACATTCAAGTTGAGCTTTTGGAGGAAATTGCAGCTTAGGGAAGGGAAATGACTAGCCCAAGGTCACCCAGCAAACAGGTGGAGCTAGGACTCAATTCAGGCCTGGTGAATCCTAGTCTGGTCTCTTTCCTCTAAAACTAGGTACACTACTTCTCAGCCTTACTCATTCGCCCTGCGAAGGGGTCAGCCAAAGGCCACTAAAGGCCTTTCCAACACTGACATCCTGGATTCGAGTTGTACACATACAGGCATTCCTTTTCTGCATTCTAGAACCAGCCCTAGTCCCTGGGAGAGGTTGACAGATAAAGGGGAGTGACTGGGGCCACAGGCTTACCACAAAAGGGCCAGAGGGTGGGGTCTAGGCCAGCCTCTGCTTAGATGACCCTGGCCAAGGAAAAACCACTTTTAGAGGCTGAGTCTCAAAGCCCCAGGGCTGGAAAGAGAAGCCAGCCTTGGCAGCCAGCCCTGGCTTGAGCCCAGGGTGCTGAGGGCCTGGGACTTATCACCCATCAGGCCTCTCCACGCCTCTATCACCTCTCTGCAGTTACACCTAGTGTTTAAAAGGAGCCAGCCTCAGGGAACAGTCCTCACAGAGCATCTTCCCACAGGGCCCTCATCAGAGGCAGGGTATGTGGGAAAACAGGGAGGGGCTTTACCAGGAGGAGAGACAGGCCGATTATCTCCACCTACTGCAGCCTCTGGCCTTTTTAGCTAGGCTGGGAAAGCCATCTCCTTCCCCACATACCCTATCTTCTGTGTTTCAGCCACTCTCACCTCTCCCTGGGCCTCAGTGCATCCTCCCAGAGCACAGAGGGGGATAAATGACTTGTCCAAGGTCACACAGCTAAGAAGTGGTAGAGCCAAGATTTGAACCCTGGCCGCCTGGTTCCAGGGTCAACCTTGGGAACCACTTCACCCTCTATGCCAGGGCAAAGTTAAGGAAGAAACTTACATCTGAAGACTACCAGGCAACTTGGCCATCAAGCTCTCCTCCAAAAGAGAAAGGGTGGTTAAATAATCCTGGGGTACTGAACCAGAGGAAATGGGTGACAATTCCAGCCTGCTGAGAAAATTAGGTTTAAAGCCTTCAGTGTGGATAGGAGACTCCCTCTTATCAGGTGGGATTACTGCTCCAGGCAGGCAGGGAGGGAATGGAGGAAAGGTCATCTCATTCCCCACCCATCTCACAGGCCAGCCGGCTTGGTGCCTGACACCAGGGAAAGTGATGGTAAATCACTTAGGCTCCATAAAAGCTTCCTAGGGAATTCTGGCTGGGGGTGCTGTGCTCACCAGGAGTCCATGAAATAATAATCCCACTCATTAGCCTCAGTCACCCAAGCTCCAGCTTGGCATCACATCCCAAAGCCATTAAAGGGTTTCCAAATCTCTGGATTTGAGATT